AAAAAGTTCCCTCCGAGAACTGGAACAAGACAAGGATGCCTACTCTCACCACTCCTCTTCAACATAGTATTGGAAGTCCTAGACAGAGCAATCAGACAAGAGAAAGAAAGAAAGGGCATCCAAATCGGTAAAGAGAAAGTCACACTGTCACTGTTTGCTGACGATATGATCATCAGCAAACCCTAAAGACTCCTCCAGAAAGCTTCTAGAACTGATAAAAGAATTCAGCAGGCCAGGCGCAGTGGCTCATGCCTGTAATCCTAGCACTTTGGGAGGTTGAGGCAGGTGAATTGCCTGAGCTCAGGAGTTTGAGACCAGCCTGGGCAACACAGTGAAACTCCGTCTCTACTAAAACACAAAAAATTAGCCAGGCGTGGTGGTGCGGGCTAAAAAGTGGGCTAAAAACATGAATACACAATTCTCAAAAGAAGATACACAAATGGCCAACAGATATATGAAAAAATGCTTAACATCACTAGTGATCAGGGAAAATGCAAATCAAAGCCACAGTGCATTATCACTTTACTCCTGCAAGAATGGCCATAATCAAAAAATCAAAAATCAGGAGATGTTGGCATGGATGCAGTGATGAGGGAACACTTCTACACTCTTGATGGGAATGTAAACTAGTACAGCCACTATGGGAAATAGTATGGAGATTCCTGAAAGAACTAAAAGTAGATCTACCATTGATACAGCAATCCCACTACCAGGTATCTACCCAGAGGAAAAGAAGTCATTGTATGAAAAAGGTACTTGCAGACACATGTTTATAGCAGCACAATTCACAACTGCAAAATCGTGAAACCAACCCAAATGCCCATTAATCGACAAGTGGATAAAGAAACTGTGATATATACATCAAAAGAAATCACAGATAAAACAAACACATGAAAACACATCCCATGCTCATGGATGGATAGAATCAATATCGTGAAAATGACTATACTGCCAAATGCAATCTACAAATTCAATGCAGTCTCCATCAAAATACCACCATCATTCTTCACAGAATTAGCAAAAATAATTCTAAAATTCATATGGAACAAAAAAATACACATATTGTTGGTATATGTATATATTTTGTATATATATTTTGTATATATATTGCATATATATGTATATACATATATATGTATATATGGTGGGACACTACTGAACCATAAAAAGGAATGAATTAACAGTATTTGCAGCAACCTGGATGAGATTGGAGACTGTTATTCTAAGTGAAGTAACTCAGGAATTGAAAAGCAAACATTGTACGTTCTCACTGATATGTGGGAGCTATGAGGATACAAAGGCATAAGAATGAAACAATGGACTGTGGGGACTTGGGGGGAAGAGTGGGAGGGGGTGAGGGATAAAAGACTACCAATATGGTATAGTATATACTGCTCGGGTGATGGGTGCACCAATATTTCAGAAATCACCACTAAGGAACTTCCTTATGTAACCAAATACCACCTGTACCCCAGTAACTTACGGAAAAAATAACAAATCTGGTTGCTTGCTAACATCTTCAGTTCAATAGAAGGAAGAGATTAAAAATTGCCAATCTGAGATAGTGTAGTGGTTAATGACAGGAACTTCAGCGCCGAAGAGACTTTAGTTTGAGGTTTGACTCCACATTTTTTCTTTAACCTATGAAGCCTTAGACAAGTGTCTCAGCCTCATGTTTCTTATCTGTAATGTGGTAACATGGAATTTACTTCATCTTCCTGTGAGGACTTCGTGAGATATAAAGTAATTCGTTGACCCTGGCATCAAAAAAAAATGGCTCTTATTATTTTCAATGTTGTCTTGTCCTTCCCCCCACACCCTAATTATCACAAGCAAACTTAAAATTAGTTGTTTTCTACTAATATTGGCTATATGGAAAAAAACAACGTCCACTTAAGAAAAAAATTCCTGCCAAACAAATAACAAGTTTGTTAAGACCTAAAAGCCTTTATAACAGATTTATTTCAATGTTTTTTCACATGTCTGATTCTTTCACTTTTCTATTATTAAATACTGCAACCAAATGTCATATCTTATGCTGTGTCAGACTGTGTACAGAAGCATTCAAAATGTGGTCCTGATGGAAGATCCATTATTTTCTTAAATGTTAAAAAAAGTTATTTTTCCTTTACCTTGTTAGAAGCATTCAGGGTTACAATGACCTCTGTTCTGTGATTGAGCATTGTTCAGAACAACCATCAAAGAGAGACCGTCTAGCGGCAAAAGTGAACTGCCAACTGGAAGGCTACAAGGCAAGTCTCAACTACCCAGGGTTGCCATGACACCACACGGAAGTGATGATTAGTCAGGGATCTCCAGAGAAAACAGAACCAACACAATGTGTGTGTGTGTGTGTGTGTGTGTGTGTATAAAGATAGAGTTTTACTTTAAGGAATTGCCTCATGCAACTTGGGGGGCCAGCAAGTCCAAAATCCGCAGAGTAGGCTGGCAGGGTGGGGACAGTCCAAAGGCAGTGTCCTGGTAGAATCCCTTTTGGCTTGAGGAGGTCAGTCTTTGTTCTCCTAAGGCCTTCAGCTGACTGGATAAGGCCCACTCACAGCATGGAGGGTAATCTGCTTAACCCAAAGAGTACTGATAAATAGTACCCTCAACTAAGAAATACCTTCACAGAAACATCTAGAATTGTTAACACATAAAATTAACCATCACAGAAAGTCATATTCTATTTTGTGCTAGTGTTCCTAGTCCTAAAATCTCCTGTCTTCTACATCACACACATCTATCTCAATAACCCACAAAAATCCATTGGTTCCTCTGAGGAAAAGGAAGATAACAGGGTATTATTAATCCCTGACCACTCTATGAGTTGTGCCTTAATCTGAGTTTATTCTAGGCTTTTCTTACCCCTCTTGTAACCCACACCACATTTTCAAATTCCCCGGGCCAATATAATAGAAGTGAAGCATGTGCAAATATTTACAATGACATGAAGAGAGAAAAAGGAAAGCTCGTGTCTTTTTAGTGGCTGTTAAATAGACTCTCAGCCATATGTCTCCAAATGCTTCAATAAAAATGTTTTCCTTTCATTTAAAATCTTTGTGTTTTTTTGTTTTTTTGTTTTTTTTTTTTTTTTGAGACAGGATCTTACTCTGTCATCCAGGCTGTAGTGCAGCAGCACAATCACAGCTCACTGCAGCCTTAACTTCCTGGGTTCAAGTGATCCTCCCGAGTAGCTGGGACTACAGGTGTGCACCACCATGCCCGGCTGATTTTTGTATTTTTTGTAGAGACAGGGTTTTGCCATGTTGCCCAGGCTGGTCTCAAACTCCTGAGCTCAAGCAATCCTCTCAATTCCACCTCCCAAAGTGTTGGGATTACAGGCATGAGCCACCACACCTGGCTGTGTTTACATTTTTCTTTCTAGCCCCTGATATCTACAAATAGCTGAGTGATGGCAAGAACTGTTCCCTTTGCACAGGCATTTGTCATAGTTGAAGTGCAGGCTGAAGAGTGAACAACAGATGCTGGAGGCTGTGATGAGACACAACCATGAAAGAGAGCTGCTCCCAGGCTGTGAAGCAAAAATAAGATACTGAATATAAAAATGCAAGGATTCCTGTGAAACTTCTTCTATTCACTCTCCCAGAGCATGGGAAAATGGCCTTTGACGCAGCCTCTGGCTGCTGGCTGTGTTCAGCCAGTAGGGAGCAATGATGAGAAATGGGAAGGAGGAAGAAGACTGAGGTATTGGTCTTCACTTTGAGGCTCCTTCCCTGAGAGGTCACACTGGACTAGCTGTGTCCCTTAGCCCAAAGTCACAGCTACTCTCAGCAGACTCGCGGGTTCCAGTTGTGGCCCCACTCCTTGCTTCCTGGGATCTAGGATGGCTGCTCCTCAGTGTTGCCAGCCTTGCTGTCCTGCATGAGCCTGTGTAGTTGCCCTCTTCCCTGTCCATAACTTCTGAACAGCCCCTTTATCAAAAACTTTTTTTTTTTTTTTTTAGACAAGAGTCTGGCTCTGTTGCCCAGGCTGTAGTGTGGTGGCACGACCTTGGCTCACTGCAACCTCCCGGGTTCAAGTGATTCTTGTGCCTCAGCCTCCCAGGTAGCTAGGATTACAGGTACCCTCCACCAAACCAGGCTAATTTTTTGTATTTTTAATAGAGACGGGGTTTCACCATAGCCAGGCTGGTCTTGAACTCCTGGACCCAACTCATCTGCCTGCCTTGGTCTCCCAAAGTGCTGGGATTACAGGCTGGAGCCACCGTACCAGCCAAAAACTCTTTTAATTACTGTTGCCTCCTGGTGCTGACTAATAAGGTATTGAATGTTCTCTGTTTTCCCTTTTATTAAAAATTTGGTATAAAATACATAAATCCTTTAAGATATTTCTGAATTTTTTACAAGCCATTAGTGAACAAATGCTTTTTGATGTTTCTCAGTGTTCTTTAAGCACTCATGTAATACTTCAATCTAAAGCGCAGCATCATCACAAGTCCTACCATGTTATGAGAATTATGTAAACCACAGTGTTGGCCTTTGTATCCTAGTTTCAAGAAAACTCTGTTAAATTTATTAATCATTGTCAATAGTTAATTGAGTTGAGTATCCAGGAACAACTATTACTCTGCTTCTTGAAATAATTTTTAAAACTAGTTTTCATCCTATTTTGCTATTGTCTTTTCCACTGTTTTTAATATGGTGAATCATCTAAATCCTTTTGGGAATATGGATAAAATACATTGTAATTAATAAACATTTCAATGTAAAAATCAGGCCCCACATCATCATTAAGACTGTAGGAAAGGACCAAGAAACCCAATTTCATAAAAGTCCACTTGAAAATAAGCCCAAGGCGCAAGAAACAAAAAGCCAGGAGAATAGTTGGATCCAATCCACAGGCATCTGGGTTCAGACAGCAAATCCATAACCACCCCCTTCTCTTCATCCACTGGAAGCACCTCCAGCCCTGGGTAGTAGTTTCCATTTCCTCAGTCTCCTGTGAGGCTTAAGAGACATTTAGGAACCGCCCAAACTTACTCTTGGTGTGGGGCTCCTGTCTTGGTCAGCAAGGTCAGCACAAAAAACATAAAAATCACGAAGACTGCAAGACCAACCCAAAATCCAATCACAATGGAATCTGCAAGACAGTTAATACTGCAATTAGTATTTCACAGTAGTTTAAAACTTGAACATTCAAGAATCAGAGCTTCTTGGAGAGGCTTTGGTACACGAAACATGAAAGGAAATCAACAGTCTGATCCGCAGTTGGCTGGAGATTGATAAGATGGAAACGATGACGGGGAGGGAAGAGTCTGCTCCGCCTCCAGGTTTCTGTCTCAGATAGCACGAAGGGATTTAGGCCTCATTGACTCATGGTTTCCGTATCTCAAGGAAGGAACCTAGGCCAGAGCATAGGTTATCTTGGGCCTCAAGATTCCACTCGTGTGTGTTGAGTTAGAAAATAAAATGTGTAGCAGACTACCAACTCAAGTTTTAAGTGCATTTGGATTCCTACTGTTAAAAGAAAAACTTTGGACAAATTAAATTTGACAGATATTAACTGTGCAAGGAAAACAAAATTCTTGAACCGGGAAGCTCCCAGAATCAGAACAGATTCAGAGAGACTCTGGGCTGCCTCATGGTTGGTTAAGATTTAGGAACAGAAAAAGGAAAATGATGTACAGGAAAAAGAAACGAGGTATGGAAACAGCTGGATTTGAACACCATTTGAACAGCTGTCTGCCTGTGAGTGCCTGAAGTGTAGCTGTGTGATTAGCTGAGACTCAGCTATTGTTATGGAAGCATTCGCTGGGTTTTCAGTTTGCTTACCTAGTAAGCTAGGTCACAGCTCATACCTAAGAATGCAAGTATGCAAATATGGAGGCCTTCTTGGGCCAAATTTTAGTTCAGAAACTCTATTGGTTAGCAGCTCAATTAGGTAGCAACTTTGCATTCTCACTTATGTTCACCATGGAATAATTCAGGCTGTCATTACTTCTTGCAGAGAACATACAGATGGCCTCTTGAGTGCTCTCTCTGCCTTCTTCTGCCTTCTGCCTTTCCCTGTGCTTTATTTCTGTACAAATCTGCTTTAATCACAGCCCTGATAATATTGCTCTTTCGTGAAAAGCTCTCCAACAAAAACAGAACTGACCCACTTTTCCAGATTAAAAGAGATTCCATATGTAAAGCACTTCATACAATGTCTGACAGCTGAGAAAACGGTACACCACAGGTGCTGGCTACTGTCATTAGAATTGTCATTTTCTCCCAATTTACCTCACTTTAAAAACCATGTGTTTCCAATCATACTAGGGGACATTGTGTCCCTGTATTTACCGTAACCTTAGCCATGGCTTCCTCACAGCCACACCTTACCAGGGCTCTGACCACTACTTGCCTGGAACAACTTTTCCCAGCCTGGAGCTAATGAAAGTGTATCCATCCTATACTAAGAAGCTTATCTATGTGGAAATACACTAAGGATGCTTAGCAGTTTTCTAAAAATAAGTGATTGGAGTTTAAATATCAAATGTGTTTAAACGCAAAGCTTTATTCTAATTAAATTATGTATGTGTAGCACTTTTTCCAAAGTGAAGAAATCAGATTAAGAATTTACTCTGCATAATTCATACTTTCATCCTCCACATACTATTGCCTAGAGGTTAACAATGTGTATTCAGCACTCTGAAAAACTAATGTGTCTAACCTTAAGTGCCAAAGAAATAGAAATTGTATACTTTGCGTTTTAATATAGTAGAAATGAGGCATAAAAAAAGACAAGGACAAATACCAAACACCACATGTACTGAGGTACAACTAACATGAAACAACAAAATCTCAACTATCTAGGTGTGGACTATGAAGAAACATTGTACAGTTAAATAACAGTTCCCTGCACTGTACTTTATCAACTGCCTGCATAGCAAAAGCAAATTCTAAAATTATACACCAATGCTATATTTAAATCTTCGGTTTAGAATTGAATCATGTTGATTGACATTTTTCAAATCTGTGTACTAGGAAGGTGTTCTCCTAAGGACAGCTTTCACACTGCAAATGGTGGACTGACTCCTGGAGGCAGAGGAAAGTGTGCCCTCAACCCAGCCCAGTCCCCCTTCCCTCTGCCCTTCTAAGTGCCCCAGGGAGCTAATCAAAAAGCAGCAATAATGTGAAGCATGGGAGGGCTACAGCCTTCAGAGAAGTCAGGCGGCGACAGTGTTGGGGAGAGGAAGGCTGTGGGTAGAATCTGAGAATCCTCGTGATCCAACAGCATTTCCAAACATTTCTTTAATAATGCGGCATCTATGTTTTCCATGGCAATATGCTTTAAGTAGCTCTGCTTATTCACATTCCACTTTGAACAAAATGTAGCTTCCTCAAGTTATTTCCACTAATTTCCCCCAATCTCATCTTCTGCCCTATGACCCATCCCCAGGGGACTTTCTCACCCTGAGCCTCTTACAAGAAACGTCAGAGATCCCCATCTCATCCCAGAAATATCCAAACTCTCCTGAAGTTTTATTCACATGTTAAGTTTCATGGGCATAGGCACTACAGTAAGATGGGAAAAGTGGAGCCCCTTGTCTTCCCAAAAGCATCCTTTTCTGGGAAGAAGTCAGAATAAAGTTTTATACAGAGCAAAGCTCCAATGTGGCTAGATGGTTAAGAAAGTCAAAAGAAGCCTTCCAAAGGAGTTTCCACCACAGCCAAGCTACCACAGTCTGTCCTGTCTAGACACTGATCTACTTGGAGACTACTATTGTAAGGGGGTAGAACAATTGCCCAGGGGAATTGCAAATGGAATATGTCATAATAAAGTAACTCCCCTTAACCTAACCTTTAGTGAATGGAATGGAACAAGAGAGCTGAAAGCTGACATGATTTTTTTCCTTCCCATTCTAGGGTAGGACTAGGTTAACTACTCCATCCAACTCGCCCTCCTCTCCACCTCTTGAGAATAAATGGTGAACTTCCCATTTCGTGGTTATATGAAAAACAAGGGTTAATACTTCACTTGAAAGAGAGGGTTCATGACACTGTCCTCATACTGCTTTTGGTTCCTAAGGCACTAGGGTCAATTCTGTGATATGAATTGCTGGCAAAGAGCCAACAGTGATGTTCCCACACTTGTCTCTACTGTCTTACTCCAAGCTTTACAAGTTCTAGCTCTGTTTCTCATCCTAATGACCTGGCTTCTTGCTGAGTCATCCATGCATAGGTCTGATATCCGCCAGGCAGCACATAAAAAAGCATGGATTTGGCCACCACTGATACCTCATATTATGAGGATATTCCTTCAGTTTTTTTCTCAACACATTGGTCAGAGTGGTCCTGCTAAAATGTGATTGTCCACTCATTGACTCATTAGCTTTTGCTTCTGCTGCTTTAAGAACACCTTGTCTTACCCAGCCACGCCCTTCATAGACGACCCATTCCTCTCCTTCCCTTTATAGCAAGACACTTGAGAGATTTGTCTGTACATGCTGTCCCCAATTTCTCTCCTCTCATTTTTTCTTGAACCAATTCCATCAACCTTTTACCCCCAGCACCCCACTAAAACTGCTTTTCAAACCATTGCCAGTAACTTCTACATTATAAATCCAATGGTCAAATCTCAGTCTTCAATTAACTTGACCTAATAGCAGCATTTGACACAGACTGTCTTTGCAACCCTTTTTTCAGTTGGCATCCAGAAAACAAAAATTGCCCAGTTTTCTTCCTACTTTCTGTACATTCCTCTCAGGCACCTATACTGCTATGCAACCCTCCAACTTCGAAACACAAGCGTGTCCAGGGCTCAGCTTTGGACTCTTCCGTTTTCTATCTACACTCACTTATCCAGCCTCTTGGCTTTGAACGCATACTATTTACATGCTGATGACCCTCAAGTTTACAGCTTTCCCCACCCTCTCCTCCCTTGTCCTCCTGGATATGTGATAGGTGTCTCAATTTAACAAGTCCAAAACGGAGCTCCTGGCGTTCCTCTCTGAAACCTCCTTCTCCCATACTCTTCTCAATTTGTTAAAGGTAATTCCATCCTGCCAGTTACTCAGGTCACAAATCTTCAAATCATTCTTGACTCTTCTTTCTCTTACACACCCCACCAATCCATTGACAAATCTTGCCAGATCCGTCTTTTAAAAACATCCAGAATGTATGCCTTTCTCACCACTTCACTCTCCCTACCTGGCTCCAAGCCACCATCATCAGCTGCCTGGACTATGGCAAAGGCCAGGTGAATGGTCTCTGCTTCTAATTTCATGCCTTTCACTCCCCAGTTGCAAAGTGATGCGTTGAAACCTAAGCCAGATGGCACTCCTCTGTTCTAGACCCTCAAGTAACTGCTCAGAGTAAAAGGCCAAGCAAAGTCCTTAGCATGACCTCTGAGCGCCCCCACCATGTCCATGTCCCCAGAGCCTCTCTGACTTCATTTCCTGCTGTTCTGCCTCTTATCACTCCCTTGGTATCACGCTGGCCTCTTTGTTCTTTGCATGATCCAGTTCACTCCCGCCAAGGATCCTTTGCTGGAATGTTTTTCCCCGAGATATATTATAGCTCAATCTCTCACTTCCTTCAGGTCTTTTATCAAATCTCTCCTTCTCAGTAAGGCTTTCCATGGCCACTCTATCTATACTGTCACCTCCACACTTCACATTCCTTTCCCCCCACTCTATTTATCCTTTTATATTGCCATCTGACATTATCTATTTAACTATTTATTGTCTGTCTCTCCCACTAGAATGCAAGCTTTATAGGAGGAAACATTTTTGTCTTTTCAGTTCACTGTTGTCTCTCCAGTGCTTAAAATAGTACTGCACATACAGGTGCTCAATAGATAGATATTGAATGAATGAATAAATAAATTTCTACTCTGTTGGTGCCAAATTTGTGTAAGATACATGTCCACTTCTGATACATGATAAGGTTTAATTCGGGATTCAAAACCAATGGCATAAGAATTATCAATGACTATCTGAGGTTGTTTCTCAGATGAAACACGCTTTGAAGGTAGGAATCTTAATTTCAGCAGAGGAACTTAGTCTAAAGATGGAGCTATTGTTGCCAAGTATGATCCATTACAGGTAAGGCAAATAAAGATAACTGTTATGGTCATTCCTGTCCTCAATGAGGGCTTCCCCTTGAAATGTCCTGCTTTTGTTCTTTTGAATCTGCATCTAATTGGCTTTGTATTTTGCCCAGCAAAACAAGGAGTCATACTTGAAGGTCAGAATCACAGCATTTTTAAATGAAAGAGACTGTACCAAAGCACACATTTCAACAGTTGACTTGATCTTTTCATTTTCCTGTATATCTGGGGTTTTGTGTTTGTTTGTTTTTTGTTATCAATGTGTCTCACATATTGTCACGTTCCTGAAGCTAAGGGCTTCTACTTATCAGCTCTCTTATATCAGAACAGTAAGTATTCAGGAATTTTTGTTTTATCTTGATGTGAATATTAAAATTAACAAAAGCAGTTGTTATTAATGGTATGGTAGGTAGTGTAAGTAAGGAAAGAATGAGTCACACCTTTGCCTATGTTTCTCAGGAAGTTTTCCAGTTATAATTATTTCTAGAATGAAATATCCTCACAAAAGATTTTATTCAATTGTCTCTGGAAATGTACCAACCAAAATTATAGCAGTAGGCCTGTCTTCTGTGCCCCTTATACTAAGGAAAAGAGACAGGAGCAAGCTGACACAAAAATAAAGTTGATGTCACCAAGCTGTAAAAGCCCACATTTCAAGAAAATATGTGGCAATTTTCCCAGTCATTTTGATTTCCACTATAATTCAGAACAAGCAATTGTCCTTACATAAAAGTTATCCTAGAAAAACAACATATTAAAGAATTTAAGTAAATTAAGGAGGGTGATTTCACACCCAACAGCCTTCTATCAGATAATCAATGACAGCATACCTTAATGAATGCCATGTGCTTTTTTTCCACAAAGAAATACTGAGTAGATGTCAATAAAGGAATGAGTGAAAGTATTTAATTATTACTACTCACTTAAGGGGTAAAGGACATATGGTTTAGTTAATGATTTTTGCTAAAGGAACAAAAATAGAAAGCCGTTCTTGCAAAAGAGCACCAAGCTGGTGCAAGAGATCATGAATGCCAAGACAGGTCAGGATAGAAGCAGCCAGGAAATAATTAAAGGAATGAAAATGCTTTCTTTGCTACATTTGTGTCTCCAAGTCCTCTTATATTTCCTAATGTGTCCCACTAACCTGGACCAGTTAAGAACATAAAAATTTTACAGTGCTGTGGATAATTCACTCTGACAAAAGCGAACATTTCAGGGATATTTACGGGGTTACCAAGACAGGACCTGAGACTGGGCAGCAGTTCCTGCCTACCATGTTAACTGTTAACTCTACTTAGTGAAACAAGGATGTCTCATGCTGGCCAGTCAGCATTCACTTATGACTGGAGTCGAATAGCAACGTCTCACAGAATTACATTTCCTTGCTCTGTGCTGGACCCTTAATTACTCCAATAGCATGAAACACAATTCATGCCTAGAACACAGGGTTAGAAATGATTGCAGGCTATTCTGGCCCGTCATTATGAACACACATGGATACACTGCTCTCCATAGCTCTAGAAAACCAACTGGGATGAAAAGATGCTGCTGTGTTACAAAAGAAAGTTCTTCAAACAACAGTTCCAGATCCTATTTTTATACATATTTTTGATAGTTCAAACATTCACAGTTTGGAGGAGCTAAAATAGCAAATGCTTTTTCAAAATTCTCAATCTCAGCTTGACATTGATTCATGTTCTCCTACTACAGGAATTTTTTAGTCTTTCATCAGTTAGAATCACCAAGGCCCTCCTGTACCATTTCCGAGCAATCAGCCTATGTATGGAGGCGAGATGTTTTGTGGGATTTGGGAGGCAGAGGACAGAGGGTTCTGTAAGAAGACAGAATGTTCAGGAGAAATAATCCTTGGGGATTTCACAGGTTAAGAGAAATACAACTTGTGCTTATAATGAGGAATTGTATAAAACTTACATTTATGAGCCTTTAGTCCTTCAAAGGAAACTGGTCCAATCTCATAATATTCATATTCCCAGGTGTAATCAGAATTAGATGCCGATTGCTGGGAAGTTCTGTTAGAAATTAACCTCTGGGCAGACATCTTCAACCTGTACAAATAGAGAAAGTCAAGCGCAGAACCTGTTAATTCATCCAGAGCTGCACAGTTACCTTAATTACTCTTGATCACATTCAGGAGTTTGGCAGCAAACCCCTTGAGGAGGTCTTACCCCCTAGGCCAGGAGAGGTTCTTACCAGCTGCCCACACCTCATGTCATATGGCCACTACTTCCTTTTATCTCGCCACTAGACTGGAATAAATGTATTTGAAACCAGACACTGTATTTTTTTGTGAACTTAACCCAATGCCTGGCACATAACCAATGTTCAGTAATTGATGAAGGAAAGAAGGAAAGGAGGGAAAGAGTATGTCAAAACCTCTGAGCTTACAGTTTCAGCCTCAGCACCTATACCTGCAAGAGTATGTAAAGAGTCTGCTGAAGCTAGTTCATTTCTGATACTAACTTGATGTATTACTCAATCTCAGATTGACATTGATTTCAGTTCTCCCATAAGGGAATTTTTTAGTCTTTCATCAATTAGAATCACCAAGGGCCTCCTGTACCATTCCCGAGTAATCAGCCTATGTGTGGAGGTGAGAAGTTTTGTGGGATTTGGGAGGTAGAGGACAGAGAATTTTGTAAGAAGAAAGAATGTTTAGGAGAAGTAATCAAATTAGTATCAGAAATGAACTAGCTCAGTATGTATACATTGAACACCTACTATGCAACAATGGAGATAAGCAACCTAAGGTTTTGTTTGTTTGTTTGCTTTTCTTGCTTCCAGTGGGGTTAGAGGAAACTAAGTTTAATAAAAAGGAGTGAATAAAGAAAAACAGGCAACAAAAGTTGCAGAGTGGATCTTGCAGAAGATCCTCAACAGAAGTCCACAACTTGTCCAACTGCTTACTCCTGAAATTTATCATATTTTCAGGATTTCCCGAGTATCTTTGTTAACTGTGACTATTTTAGACCAAAAAATCCTGACTTCTTTGGGAGAAGATGATTGCACTGCGCAGCATGCATGCTGAAGGTGATAAGTCAATGCAGCCTGTGTTCAATAACTGTGCTTGAGCACCTACGGTGTGCAAGACACTGCACACTGTGGGATGGGCAGAGATGCCTGAGACAGATCAGTACTCCACAGGCCTTCCCTTACAATGGAGAAAGGGAGACAAAGCGACACATAGCAGTAACATAAGAGAAAATTTGAATGAAATACCAGCGGAAACGAAGATTCACTGAGCAGTCACTACCACTGCGCCCGCTTCAAGAGCTTTCTGAGGTTTCTTTAGCCTGCACCCCTCCCCACTGCCTCCAGGGCACAATCCTCAGGGAAGCTGGGGCAAAATCACCACCACCACCCTTCCGCCACACTTCTGCATCACTCTCCCCTTTCCCTCACCCCTTCTTTCCCATCCCAGACATGACTCCACAGAAAAGGACTCTAACCCCATGTCATCATACTGTTCAAAGGATGGGCCCAAAAAGCCTAAAATATTTACTTTCTGGTCTTATATTACAGAAAAACTTTGCCAATCCCTGCTATAGAGCCATGAAAAAAAAATCTGAGCTTCAGTTTTCCCACTAGTAACATGAAGATGATTATGGTACCCACTTCATGGAGTTGCTATAAAAATTAAATGTGATGTTGCATGAAAAATTAAGAAAAATATTAGCAGGCCGCACAACTACTAATTAGAAATGCTGATCTTGAATAGAAAAGCCTCGCTTTGCTCTTCAGACACACCCAACTCCCTGGCCAGCCAATTCTTACCAAATGCACCAAGTGTTAACTGATTGATTCAAGCAATCTACCTGCCTCACCCTCCAGAGTGTTGGGATTACAGCTGTGAGCCACGGTGCCCAGACAAATAAATAAAACTATGACCAAAAATTACTTAAAGGTGTTTAGATCATTTGAAAGTTAAAATGATCAACATTTACATCCTGGGATTCATGCTGTTCTACCAACTCAAAAATAAAATAGTATTTCTCTCTTTTTTTCTTCATTAAGGAAAATAAGATGAAGTGTGGTTTGATCATATCATTTTTAGTAGAAATCAACATTACAACTACTGTAACAGCAGAGTGGAGGGAGGCACTCAACTTCATCTGCAACAGAAAAATAGTGAAAAGTACTTAAAGGAATGAAGAAAATAAAGACGGAGGGTGTGTATTCAGAGCACCACAGAACTGAGAGCTGTTCTCCCACAGCCACATAGTTCTCAAAGTCAGCACACAGTGGGACCCTCATCTGTGGCTGCCAGGGTCCACAGGACCAGTCAGAAAGCAGCAGTAACATCACCCTCATAGGGCCGGTCAGGAACTAGTCAATAAAATGTGTCTGTGTAAGAGTGAACTGTAAGGAATATCAACCACCCACCCTACAACAGAGACATGCGTTCTTTTTCTGCCCCTTACACTATCCCCTTTCATCTAAATGAACTATTCAGGGATTGATTACTAAAGGGCATTACCAAAGGGCAATATAAGTTATATGTGCAAAAGTCCTGAAGGTGGGAAGAGAGAAGTGAAGTTCTGACCAACACTGACAGACAAGAATGACTGAATAACAGAGCCAGCCTACAGGAGGTTCTCATTCTGCAGAATGAAATGTGACACCAGCTCTCCCCAAGCAGCCACCAGTTGTCTGAGTAGCCTTCAAACAAAAGGAGAGGCATTTGTCTCCACTGGCTCTTTCCTCTCACTTCTTGAATCCCAAAGATAGCTTTGGAGGACAGAACCTCTGACCTCTTCTTTAAAGCAGTCACCTAGTGCCCTTGAAAAAGTCCACGAGGCATTATTTTTTCATGCAAGTCTCAAATTAACCAGCTTAGGCCATCAGATGCACAAGGACCAACAACAAACATAAGGCAGTGCTAGGGAAGTGTTCTGCGTCATCCCCATTACCAAGCCCGCAGTGACCCTCCAAGCTTTGCTGAAACATAAGCTGGGAACCGCCAGCATGTCCAAGCAGCAGCCCCCTGAGTCTGCTATTCCACCACAGTGTGCATGATCTGGGCCATCCACGCAGTAAGGGAGGTAGCCTGGCACTGAGCCTCACTCCCTGGGGTGCTGACAGGCCGGCAGCTGCTCTGTCTTGAACACAACAGCAGGAAGCGGCAGCTCCACGGGCAGCTGCTGTCTGTGTGGCTACCACTCCTGAGAACCACCCTCCCCACCCTGAGATTTTCTTAATGTCAGATTTCTTTATGATATTAGAGTCATGAAAAATAACTTCTTTGACAGAAACATATCCTAAACAAGCTTCCACATCAGAGAGACTAAATTGCTCTTTTGGGCAGCTGAAAGCATCATTGCCAACAAAAGCAAAAATGAAGATTAGGACTGCATCCCAAAGCTAGCCCTGAAAGGAAGCTTACCTTTTCCAGGTGTGCACAGGGTAGTGTAGCCCATGCCAGCCCACTGTCGGGGAAGAGGGAAGATCACAAACCCAAACAGAGAAAGCGTGGTGAGCAGGCCCAGACACCTCTCACTAAACCATCACCTCTTCTCCAACCCACATTCCCATCCCTTTCATCCCTTCTTCGGACTATCCAATCTTTCCCGCTCCAACCCAGGTTCCTATACCACTCCTGGGCACTCTCTTTTCCTCCCCGTCCCTCTTTTTTTGAGACAAGGTCTTACTCTATTGCCCAGGTGGGAGTGCAATGGTACAATCACAGTTCACTGCAGCATTGACCTCCCTGGCTGAAACGATCCTCCTGCTTTGGCCTCCCAAAGTGCTGGGATTACATGCATGAGCCACCACACCTGGCCTCTTTTCCTTCTTTTATTTTGAGGGGAGTCTCCCTCTGTCACCCAGGCTGGAATGCAGTGGTGAGATCTCGGCTCACTGCAACCTCTGCCTCCTGAGTTCAAGTGATTCTCCTGCCTCAGCCTCCCAAGAAATTGGGACTACAGGCACATATCACCAGATCCAGCTAATTTTTGTGTTTTTGGTAGAGACAGGGTTTCGCCATGTTGGCCAGGCTGGTCTACAAACTCCTGACCTCAGGTGATCTGCCTGCCTGGGCCTCCCAAAGTGCTGGAATTATAGGCGTGAGTCACCGTGCCCAGCCCTCTCTACCTTCTTAAAAATGGATGAAGCAATTCTCTCCACCTCCCTGAATTTGAGGAGATGTACTCAGACATAGAACTTCCCAAAGTAGTTCTATGAATAAATTCTATTCTAATCATAAAGCCATTATTTATGAATAAATGGCTTTGTGTCAATATCCTTAGTGGATTACGATGGTATGCACAGCAAGGGGGCTGCTTCTTTGGAGTTAGACACTTTTTTTCCATGTTAAGGGGTCAACATCAGCAGATGAGTTTTTCAAGTGACCACTAACCCAGGCAAAGGACTAGCACATTAAGAAGAATCCAAAAGGTGCCAGAAACCCTGAAAAATGAGCATGCCCCCACACAAACATGCACACAACTGACAGCACAGCTACTAAGGCATTCCAAGAAACTGCCAGCCAATGCCACAAATCCAAAGACCTATGCTGACCAGTTTGTACAGGGGAAGACCTAATGGCCAGTCAGATGATCAAAATTCCCAACTGCAATGACTCTCCCACCTTCCTCTTCAATCCTCAAACTCCAAAAGTAGGCATGCCACCCAGGACCACCAACCTCTGTTCTGGCCCATGCCAGGAAGGTCTTGTTAGTTACCTCTTCTTATCCTTCTTCATCTTACTTCCAGGAATGACTGTCCCACACAACATAGAGAAGTCACCCTTGTGACTCATAACCCTCTCTCTCTTCCAGCAAAGAGACTTGAGAAACCAAAGATAAAGCTCAGCCACGCTGCACTTTGGCGGCTGATGAGCCCAAGGTGGGAACTTCAGAATTGCAACTTTAGAAGCTTAATTTCCTCCTTGCACAGAACAATGGTGCACCCCAGTGTACCCATGTCTAAGTGGGTAGGGTCACATAGAAAATGAGAGACTTCAACATTATGAATCACACTCCGAGCCAGCTGGATCTTCTTAAAGCATCTCTATAAGGCAGCACCTCCCAGCAAGGGATCATGCTTGACCCTCTCAATCACAGCTGCCACATTGTCCTCCCAGGGCAGTGCTTTAAAAACAGTAACATGGTGTTATTCTCCAGTTTACTTTTCCTTTTTATAGAGTCTGCATAAACCACCACCTTCTACTGGCACTTCCCACTTAATTTCCAGGTCTGCTGATTCTTTTTCTGTGAATCCATTTTGTCAGTGGTGTCTTTCATGGGGCATGGATTTTTCTTTCCTCCAATTAAATAAAAAAGATCATGCTTTCAGGACTTTGTAGTCTTCTCCTCCTTACTACTATTTTGACTCGAGTATGACTCTTTTGAAGTCTGATGCTCTGGCAACTCAATTCAGTCTAGAGATGTTACACGCACGCACACACACACACACACACACACGTACGCATGCTGGGCTCTTCCTTTTCAAATGGACATACTTCCCATATTTCTCTACACTGCCAAGTTTTATGACATTCTCTAGTGTTTCCTAGAAAGTACTCAATTACCCAGCAGTCCTCAAAAAATGGTGACTGACAGCTGACAGAGAATTCAGGATGTATCTATTTCCTGCCTATCCCTGCTTCTCCTGTGCAGTCAGCAACTTGTTTCCAGCAGCAAGGCAGCGAACAAAAAGTGTTCCCAAGCCTGAAGACTTCTTCCATCTTAACAGAAAAATCAATGCCAATAGAAGAACAACTGCCAAAAACAGAAATGGGACTTAATATTTTACACTGATAGATATGTAGTCACCACCTGAAATAAAGAATTGCTTAATTAAGAAGTGGGCACCCTTCTTTCACCAGCTGGTGTCTCAAAGGGGACAAGCAGTTTGTATTCATAAATCTACCTCTTTCTGTTATGCCTGGCCACCTATATGGTAGTAAACAGGCTAGGAAGTTTTTTGTTTTTTGTTTTTTTGTTTTTTTGTTTTTTGAGATGGAGTCTCCCTCTGTTGCCCAGGCTTAAGTGCAGTGGTGTAATCTCAGCTCACTGCAACCTCCGCCTCCTGGGTTCAAGCGATTCTCCTGCCTCAGCCTCCCTAGTAGCTGGGATTACAAGTATGCACCACCATGCCTGGCTAGATTTTGTGCTTTTAGTAAAGAAAGGGTTCACCATGTTGCCAAGGCTGGTCTCAAACGCCTGACCTGAGGTGATCCGCCTGCCTCTGCCTCCCAAAGTGCTGGGATTACAGGCATGAGCCACTGTACCCAGCCAGAAGTAATTTTTAAAGTTGAGTGTTTCCTGGCTCTGTAGTACTCCACAGGTTAGTCCCATTCTAATAGACTTCAGCTGGACATCAAGAAGAATTTCATGTTTACACACCCAGTAAAGAAGCTGTAAAGTCTCCATCTGGAGAAAATTTCCAGAGAAGAGAAGAGGCATGGCCCTGAGATACGACTGCACCTCTGCCCCTGGCTCTACAGAGTCAGGGAACTGAATTTTCAGTTTTCCAGAGACGAGAAAGCCCTTATGGACTCAGTCATGCTAACCAAGCATAGCAGAATGATTTATAACGAGCATATCCATTTGTTGAATAAGGAAAACAATTTTCACGCTGACCACAGCACATGTTTTACATGGTCTGGGAAACAAAATTTAAGATCAGAAGATTAGCTAGTGAAAGTAGAATCAGGACAAGGGAGTTGTAATAATATGACAAAACAGAACCGTAATGCTCCATCCCACTACATGTGTATCTACGTGTTAGACTGCCGTCCTGTATTCCAATGTCAATGTCCTGTTGCCACCACAACATGCTATCATGGTGGAGCTGGCTTCCCCAATCACAGGAAAGGCATAGGCTTAACTCTAGCCTTTTCTAGACCTTGCTTTTCTTGGTCTGTCCTTCAAAAAATTCTAGGCTAGTTGAGAGCACCAGTAGAATACCAAGTCAGTCACTTTTATTACAGTTAGGTTTTCTGAGTTCCCATGACTACTTTATTTTTGCTCTATCTCTAAACTCTTAGGGAAAGCACGCTTTAAATTACAAGTGTCAAGTCAAAGAACCAACTATCAAAAAGAAATCTTCATAATGAGATACCACTTCATACCCTATTAACATGGTAATGATCAAAAATCAGAAAATAAGTATTGGTGAGGGTATAGAGAAACTGGAACCCTTGTGCACTGCTGGTAGGAAGGTAAAAAGGTACAGTCACTGTGGAAGACAGTATAGCAGTTTCTCAAAAATTTAAACATGGAATAACCATATGATACAGCAATTCTAATTCTGGATATATACACAAAAGAACTGAAAGCAGAGACTTGAACAGATATTTATGCACACCTAAGTTCATAACAGTTTATTATTTACAATAGCCAAAAGGTCAAAACAACCCAAGTGTCCAATCACAGATGAATCATAAACCAAATGTTGTATGTACAATGCAATATTAAGCCTTAAAAAGCAATGAAGTTCTGAAACATGCCACAACTTTGATGAACCTTGAAAACATTATGCTAAATGAAATAAGCCAGTTACAAACGGACAAATATTGCATGATTCTACATATATGAGGTACCTAGAATAGCCAGATTCTTAAAGACAGCAAGTATTGGGTTGGTGCAAACGTAATCGTGGTTTTTGCAAATACTTTTAATGGCAAAATTCACAATTACTTTTGCACCAACCTAGCAGAATGGTGGTTATCAGGAGCTAAGGGTGGGGAAATGGGAAATTGCTATTTACCAGTAAAGAGTTTCAGTTTGAGATAATGAAAAAGTTCTGGAAATGGATAGTTGTCATGGTTGTACAACAATGTAAATATATTTAATGCCACTGAACTATACATTCAAAAACGGTGCATTTTATATTATGCATATTTAACCAAAATACAAAAAAGTTCTAAATATTGTTTATAATTTTTTTTTTTAGGCCAGGCTTGGTGGATCATGCCTGTAATCCCAGCACCTTGGGAGGTCAAGGCAGGTGGATTGCTTTGAGCCCAGGAGTTCAAGACCAGCCTGGCCAACATGGCAAAACTCCATCCCTACTAAAAATACAAAAATTAGCCAGGCATAGTGGTGCATGCCTGTAATCCTAGCTACTTGAGAGGCTGAGGAACAAGAATTGCTTGAACCTAAGAGGCAGAGATTGCAGTGAGCTGAGATCACCCCACTGCACTCCAGCTTGGGTGACAGAGCAAAATGCTGTTTCAAAAATAAATTAATTAATTAAATAATACAAATAGTTTTTAGAAAAATAACAAGAAGCAGTGCTTCCCAATCATAGCACTTGAGGGGAGGGTAATGAGAACTCTCTAAAGCAAAAGAGAACCCCAGAGGATGACAGAGGGTGCTGAGACATCTGAGCACCCCTCCCTGTGTGGATCCTTCCTCCCTGGTCCACCTTCAAGGATCCAGCTTTGCTTTTTTCAGCAGCCCTGTGGGGATTCCCTTTCAAGTAAAAGGAACACTCCCTCTAAGCTGTGAGGAATCACCCCTTTCAACCCCTGGGAGAGTCTTAGACAGGTGGCAGAATATGTGTGCTTTGCCAGTTCATGGTCCTCTCACCCTGACCAGTCCTGGAAACACACTAGCCACTTCCCAAATTCTCCTTTTTTTTTTGAGATGGAGTCTCGCTCTGTGGCCCAGGCTGGAATGCAGTGGTGTGATCTCAGCTCCCTGCAACCTCCGCCTCCTGGATTCAAGTGACTCTCCTGCCTCAGCCTCCTGAGTAGCTGGGACTACAGGCGCATGTCACCACACCCGACTAATTTTTTCTACTTTTAGTAGAGACGAGGTTTCACCATGTTAGCCAGGATGGTCTCCATCTCCTGATCTCATGATCCACCTGCCTTGGCCTCCCAAAGTTCTGGGATTACAGGCATAAGCCACCGCACCCGGTCAAATTCTCCTTTCTATAAGCTTTACCTTCTGTTGTACCTGTCATTACCCCAGTTCATTTCAGGAGAAGTCCACCACAGATTATCATTCCAAAGCTTTCAGGCCCTTCTCATGGATTACATTTAAAACTAGCAGCTTCCCAGCAACAAAAAGGAAGCACCTTAATTTCATTAAACTGGTTCCATCCAGTCTCTGGGGAATGTTTTCTAGAGACCAGCCAGTTTTCATGGACCTGAAATACAGACTTGCCAGCATTTTTATTTTGCAAAGTAAGGAAAAATTTTAAAAACAACCATTATTAATAATTATCATTTTGTAGACAGTTATCTTAAACACCCTCCAAGTAGAGAAGATGTAATTTCACAACAAAGGCAGTCCTCTGCAAGACAGGAGGACTAGCAGTTTGACATCAATACTTTCACAGCAAGCAGACACTTCCATGGGAGTTCGCATGACACTGCCTCTGTCTACTACATTCACATGAGAGCTACCTATTATGGCTGAAATATTCACCCCCTCTATAAACAAAGGAAAAGAACTGAAAGGGATGTAGTGAAAGTCCTTCCAGATCTATGATTCTGTCACTTAACAAAATTATCAAGTTGCTTTTCACTTGTATCACAAACTCAGTGGTCTGTATCTATTTGTATTATGGGTGTGTATATGTGTTCACATGCATGTGAAAGCACACACATGTGAACATACACATTGTGTGTGTGTGTCTAGATATACTTTTTTTTTTTTTGAGACAGAGTTTCGCTCCTCACACAGGCTGGAGTGCAGTGGCACGATCTCGGCTCAATGCAACCTCTGCCTCCTGTGTTCAAGCCATTCTCATGCTTCAGCCTCCTGAGCAGCTGGGATTACAGACGTGCACTACCACACCTACTTTTTGTATTTTTAGGAGAGACAGGGTTTCACCATGTTGGCCAGGCTGGTCTCAAACTCCTGGCCTTAAGTCATCCGCCCACCCCCAGCCTCCCGAAGT